CACAACAATCCTTCCTGTCTCAGCCCCCTCTAAGTGCTGGGATTACAGCCCTGGGCCACCAGGCCCGACTTTTTTTGAAGGCTCTAGGGGATAAGCCCCAACACTTGCTCCGAGGTGAAGTTCTATGAGTTTAGTCTGTTTCCTTGCTGACTGATAGCTAGGAATCACCTTTATCTCCCAGAGGTTTCTCTGGTTCTTGCACATAGCTCAGTACCATTCAGAAACAGCAACAGAATGTGGAATTCTTCTTATGTTTGAATAGCACTGTGATTAGTTTGGGTCCATCTGTGTGCCTTAGGATAATGTTATCTGCAAGCCCTTGCAAAATTCCTTTTGCCATATGTTCAGCAGTTCCAGAAGATTGGGGTCTGGTTATTTTGGAGGCAGGGCATTACTCTACCACAGTGAAGACATTAAGAAAAGAAAGCCATATTTTTAATTAGGAAGATTCCCTCCTGTAATGATTCATTTCTGTCTAAATTAGCCTACCAACGCAGTACTAGATGTGCTAATCACAACTGAAGTTGGATTTCTCCTTTAGCTAAGTACCTTTCAGAAACAGCAACACGATGTGGAATTCTTCTTATGCTTTGAATAGCACTAGTGATTAGTTTGGGTCTATCTGTGTGCTTTAGGATAATGTTATCTGCAAGCCCTTGCAAAATTCCTTCAGAAAATATTGCTTACAGGAATACTCTATTATTTATTTTTTGTGGTATCAGGTATGGAACTCAGGACCCTGCACTTGCCAGGCAAGCACTTATTCTATTGAGCTATCTCCCCAGCCCTACAGGAATATTATAGCATCCCTTGCAAACTTTAGCTTAGGTAGACTTCATATATTCTAGAAATGTGTAACACACATGCATTCTGCACAAAGGCAAAGGAATATTCCCACTGTTTCTAATATCCCATATTTTTCTCATCATCACTTTTTAGGTACACATTTGACCGATACGATAAACTAAGCAAGGCATGGTGGTGCACACCTGTGATCCCACCACTTGTGAGGCTGAGGCCAGTTTGAGGCCAGCCTGGGGTGGACAGTGAGACCCTGTCTAAAAACAAACAAACAAACAAACAAACAAACAAACAAACAAAAAAACCCCCAGTAAACTGTCTCGAAATTTCTATCATCTTTTTCTTATTCAAAACCAAGAACTCAAATTTTGTCACTCTGATTAAATATCCAAGAAAGTCAAC